GCCCCCCAAATTGGAGAGAGAAGTGAACACAGAAAATTACAGTCACCAGAACAGAAACTCTAATATGGAGCCAGGGACACCACAAAACCCTAAATTGTAGTTAACAAGTTTGCTACAGTATAGACATGTCTGAGAGCTAAAAATTACAGGAGGGCTGGTTGCTGGTGGCTCACAACTATAATCCTAGCTATTCAGGAGGCTGAGATCTGAGGATTATGGTTTGAAGGCAGCTCAGGCAGGAAAGTCTGTGAGACTCTTATCTCCAATTAGTCACCAGAAAACCACAAGTGGTACTGTGGTTCAAGTGGCAGAATGCAAGCTTTGAGTGAAAAAGCTCAGACACAGCGCCTAGGCCCTGAGTTTAAGCCCCATGACCAAAAATAAAACAAAGTGACAGGAGGACTCAGACATAAGAAAAGAATTTAAGGAGTTAAAGAATTTAAAGGAGTTAAGAAACAATGAAAGAAAAGGAGTGAAAAATATGTTTCCCCTTGGACAAATTGTGAGGTTCACTGCTATTAAAGTTAGATGCTGTAACAGAGTCCTCACAATGAAACAAGGCTAGGTTGAAAGAAGGGCCTGAAATACTTGCTAGGGAATAGAAATTGGCTGTAACAAAGCACTGCAAAGAAGCACTGGAAACCACTGTGATGCATTCTGCTGGGATTTCTAAAAGCATTCCTGAGAATTGTTAGAGTTAGTACTGAGAAATAAAAATTAAAATACAATGGGGCTGGGAAGGTGGCTCAGTGGTAGAGTGCTTGCCTTGCATGCTTGAGCCGCTGGGTTGGATTCCTCAGCACCACATAAGCAGAAAAAGCCGCAAGTGGTGCTGTGGCTCATCTGGTAGAGTGCTAGCCTTGTGTTGAAGAGCTGAGGGACAGCACCCAGGCCCAGAGTTCAGGCCCACAACTGACAAAAAAATTAAAATACAACACTCTACAAAATGGAAGTATAGGCATTGGATTAAGTGGTAGATTGCCATCATGAGCAAAAAAGTCAAGTAAGTACTTGAGGATCTGAGTTCAAGTGTCAATACTGGCACAAAAAGAACAAACACAAATGTTCCCCATCTTTTCCTATTCCTAGAACTAGTCAAGCCCAGATAATTTTACAGGCAAAGTTATAGAAAATAATTCTGGACTAACAGAATTATTTAGATAATTAATTATTTAGATAAGACTGTTTTGAATAAAACATTAATAGACTATCAATAACTAAAGACGATGCAACATCGACATATGGAGAGTCACACAGATTGGCTAATATATAAGATATACATATACCATATAAGATATATAATATATAAGATAGAGTATATAAAATATATAAGCTGGGTGCGCGTGGCTTATGCTTATAATTCTAGCTCCTTAGGAGGCTGAGAGCTGAGGATTGGGGTTTGAAGCCAGCCCAGACAAGAAAGTCTGTGAGACTTATCTCCAATAAACTCAGAAATAGCTGGAATTGGTGCTGTGGCTCAAGTGGTAGAGCACTAGCTTTGGGCACAAAGAGGCTCAGAGACAGCACCCAGGTCCTGAGTTCAAGCTCTGGAACCAGAAAAAAAAAAGAAAAAAAAAGAAATATTACATATTATATATAATAGTAATAGTTTATATATAATGATTTAATACAGGATGGGTATCAAATTACTTTAGTGAGAAAAAACTCAGCTAATTCAATAAGTGGTATTTAGATAACCAATGATCAGCAATAGAAAAAAAAAAAGGATCCTTACGCTGAATGGCAAGCCATCCCCTCCCAAAGCCAGTAGCAAAGGTTTCTTGCTGTGTTACCTGTCACTTCACGCCTGCAGGGGACTCTGCTCACTACAGTCCCTGGGGAACCTGGGTTGCTGAAGCAGTAGTCACCATACCCAGAAATAATTTTCCATTCATAGTTAATTGTCCAGAACAAATAACAGTCCCCTAATTCCTAAGCGGTCAGGAAAGCGATCCGATCTCATTCACAGACGATAAGGGCAGCCATGCCAAGACCACAAGGCATGTCCAAATAATCTGCTGGCACAAATACTTTTATTTACTTTTTTGTTTTTACATTTCTTGGCACATTTTCTTTCCCAATTCCATTGTCTTGCTTTCACATTTGGAAGGCAAGTATTCCCCTTTACACAGCACTGCTCTAGGCAATGATAAACTCCAACAATGTGCTTTCTCTCAGAAGTCAGCATTCAGCTGTATCTCTTCCTAGGTGTTCAGCCTTCACTCTCTTGGGCACATGAGGCCCCAGACTAACCACTGCCCTGACAGAGAATACAGGAACCTTGTGAGCATCTTATGCTTATTAATTCACAATCCTGAGAACACCCTTTGAGGCCAGTACTCTTAGCACTTCTGTTTTAAGTTGGAACAACTAAAATAAAGATTAAGCAATATGCTCAGTTAGTAATCTGAAATTATGCATTGTGGCTTTGATACTCCTGTCTCTTCAAGGCACTAGCCCTCTGTTGCTGCAGTGTGATCATTCCTGGCACATTAAACTCCATCAGCCTTTTCTCCACATAGCCCTTAACTCATCTACATCCTCCACCAGGCTCTAGTTCTGAACACACCAAAACGCTGCCTAAGGAGAAAGCCATGTGACTGAACAACACAAAGTATTAACCAGAATATAGTCACCTCCGATCTCTCCATTCCATTTTCTAATTTGGAGAGTTTTCCTAGTGAGTCCCAAGTGACTTCCATGGTTGAAGTATAAAGATCATTCAGAGAAGGATTAAAACTTTTTTTTTCAGGATGTTTTAAGTCTTCTCCAGAACACAGTGACTATCACTGCTTCTGCATTTCCAAAAGTTACACAAAGGTCTGGAGGAAAGTAGGAAAGGAATAGGAGGGGATGTGAGGATGAGAAAGGGGACTATGAAGGAATTAAGGTCTATGGAACATCAGTGGTAGATACTATACACTGCACTGTGCCTCTTTAATCCATAAATTGAAGTTCTCATCCCTAAAATGATAGAATCTGCAGCCTATCCCTTTGGGAGACCATTGGACAAGGCTAGTGGCTCTATCACTTTGAGCCATAATTCCATTTCTGGGTTTTTTGTTTTTGGTAGTTTATTGGAAGTAAGTATCAGCGACTTTCCTAACTGGACTGTCTTCAAACCATGGTCCTCAGAACTCAGCCTCCCGAGTGGCAAGGATACAGGTGTGAGCCACTGGGGCCTGGTTCTAAAATATTTTTTGCCACACAAAGCTTATTTAAATTGCATGAAATGAAAAAAAAAGGTTATCTGTAGGGATGGTTTATGTTCCTGCATTATACAATCATATAACTAAAAACGCAGAAAGATTCTAAATATTCATTGGATTGCACATCTCATACCATTTGGTAGACAAAAACAACATCAATGTTTGAATGTAGTCACTGGATTCAGTCAGCCACAAACTTCAATATATCCTCAAGGACAGAGGAATTCACAAATATTCAGAAGCTCAGATACCAGGTTACTTGATCTTACAATGGTCCCACCATCTCCCTACAGTTCCATTCTTAAATTGGCGGGATGATAATCCTAATTACCACCTACAAAGTACAAGGAAGTTCCAGCCAACTCCATCAGCAAAGATCTATTTAGTATTATGGTGAAACAGTTAATTTTTTGGTCAAAACCAGACCTTAACAACAAATACCACTTATTTCAGAAATCTCTAAAATACAAAAAAAAAACACTTTAATTTGAACACAAATAAACTTATAGCACTTTTCACAAATTCACGAATCACAAAGGAGATATTACAACAGTATCCAGTATCCTTATTATGTAAGGGAACTTTGGATTTATGTAAATGTAAGCCAACAAATTCAGAAAATCTCCCAAGCCTACTAAGGAGGTGGAGATCAACAACAACAATAACAAAAACCTGGGTATAGTGGTATACACCTATTCTGGTCATAAGGGAAGCCTAAGTAGGAGGATTGGGGTTCAGGTCTACCTGGGCAAATATTTCAGGCCCTATTTCAAAAATAACTAAAGCTGCAGAGACATGGATGCAATAGTGGTACTCTTTAGACACTATGTTAAAAATGAACTATATAATTTGTGCGTGAGAATGGGAAGGGAAAAACTGGGAGAGAGTGAGAGAAGGGACGACACTGTCCAAAAAGAAATGTACTCTTCATCTGACTTATGTAACTATAACCCCTCTATGTATCACCTTTATAATAATAAAAAATACCCAAAGCAAAGGGCTAGTTCACAGCTCAAGTAGAGTATATGTCTGACAACTACGAAGCTCTGGGTTCAAGCTCCAGTACCACCACATTTGATATAAACAAACAAGGCCTTGAAAAGTAGTATAAAAGATAAGCTGGTCACTAAAAGGAAGTAAAATTATTTCAAAATAAAAATATATATAAGATGTCAGGACTTGAATATCATGCTGAAAACCATTCTGAAATATTCACACCATTAACATGGTGCCAGAAAGGTTAATCAAAAGAAACCTCTAGAGCTGTGCACAGGTAGTTCACACCTGTAATCCTAGCTACTCAGGAAGCCGAAATCTGAGGATCATGATTTCGAAGCCAGGTCAGGCAGGAAAGTCTGTGAGACTCTTATCTCTAATTAACTACCAAAAAAAGCCAGAAGTGGAGCTGTGGATCAAGTAGTAGAGTCCTAGCCTTTAGTGAAAAAGCTCAAGGACAGTATGCAGGCCCTAACTTCAAGCCCTAGCACTGGCACGCACACACACACACACACACACACACACACACACACACACACGGAGGAGAAGGAAATGGAGGAGGAGGAGGAAGAAGAAAAAGCGGACAGGAGCAGAGTGGAACAAGCCAGGAACAGAGGAAATAGCTCATGAGCCGATAACTGTGGAAGGTAAGGAAAACATGGGGGTTTATTAGCCTATTTTTTTCAGTGTCAAATGTCTGAAACTGTCTCCATGAAAAAGAACTTTAAAAATTATTGTACATCTGAACAAACCAACCCCATCTTCATAGCCTTAAAAGTAAAGGAAGACTAGTACCTTCCAATCTTTGAATTTTTGCTTTCACAGAAATAACAGCTTCAAAGGGTGAAACTCTCAGCTCAAAACATGTTCCAGTCAATGTTTCAATGAAGAGCTCCATGGTATCATACAAAGGAATTTTGTAGTAAAATGCTTCCACGTTATCTTCATTGAAGAATGGAGGCTCTTTTCTGTTATCCATTACTTTGGCTTTTCTAATTCCTCTGGAATAGAGGGTATGCAACTGTATCCTGGTTTTACCCGAATCAGCTTTGAACATTGGTAATATGTATTGTTGTTCATGTTTTGAGTATTGTACCTAAAAAAACAAGAATAATTTTTTAACAAGCCTATTTGAGAATTTCCTGCTTCTATGAAGACTTCTGAATAACTCTGGTGCATGTTAGTTCCCATGGCCCCAGAATTCATTTTAAGTGCTTTTAATTATGTTGAATCCTGAACTTTTCACACATACTTGCCTCTTAAATTGCTTGCCATACTAGATGGTAGATCAACAGGTATATTTTTATATTTAATTTTATATTTAATATAAAATCATTTACTAATATACTTGATCAAATATTTTTGTTGTTAATGATATTCAAACAAACTCAATACATCAGTATTGTATGGAATATGCATGTGTATCTTTTATACAAAATATCTAAATCATATTATCTAAAACATATAAAGCATAGTAACTTTACAACTATTATGTTTGTGGTCCACAGATACTGTATCTTTATCATAATGACTTCACAACCATTATATCTGTGGCCCACTGCATAAAAGCATTCATCTTAATATGTTCCTTAAAAACAGACTAACAAGCCAGGCACCAGCGGCACACACCTGTAACCTAGCAACTCAGGAGGATGAGATCTGAGTATATTGTTTGAAGCCAGCCCCAGCAGGAAAATCTGTGAGACTCTTATCTCCAATTAACCACCCCAAAACCAGAAGTGGAGCTGTGGCTCAAAGTGGTAGAGTACTAGCCTTGAGCACAAATCAGGAACAGTGCCCAAGACCTGAGTTTAAGCCCCATGACTAACCAAAAAAAGAAAAAGAAAGAAAAAAGAAAAAGACAAACCAGATTCACTAAATAATCATCATCAGGCTTGGCAGACGGTATCTAAAACTAGGTTTCTTTCTTTGGTAATATACGCTGGACCAGCTTTACTCATAAACATACCAAATGGTTAATGAGTATGAGAGACAAACTCAACAAATAGTAGTAAGGTAAATAAAAAGTGTGCAATAAGGAGTACAAGGATAATTGAAATGCTAAATTGCAATGAATTGATGAAAATTATAAAGAAGGGCCTTGAATTTAAGACTATAAGGACAGAAAATATGTATCTTCCTTGAAAATAGCTTCCTTGAAATATAATTCACCTACTGTGTGTTCATTTAAAGTCTTTTTTTTTTTTTTTTGTCAGTCATGGGGCTTGAACTCTGGGCCTGAGCGCCGTCCCTCAGCTCTTCAGCTCAAGGCAAGTGCTCTACCACCTGAGCTACAGTGCCACTTCCAGTTTTCTGGTGGTTTATTTGAGATAAGAGTCTCACAGTCTTTCCTGCCAGGGCTGGCTTTGAACCTCCATCCTCAGATCTCAGTCTCCTGAGTAGCTAGGGTTATAGGCATGAGCCACCAGCGCCTGGCTCATTTAAAGTCTTACATTCACTTCATTCATTTTTAGTGTATTTACAGTGTTGTGGGACAATGCCATACCCCCATTCCCACCCCAGTGCTGGTGCTCCAACCTAGGAAACTGCACTCACCCACTGAGCCACACCAGCAGCACCTGAGTAAACTTTTGTATTTCAGGAAGTGTAAAGCTTCAGAGTTGGAGAAGCATGTCAACAAGGAAGCCTAGGAGAACAGAAAAGGGATACTATTATGAAAGTGTAAGACATAAAAACAAATGCTTTGATACGTAATTTCTTATCGAAACAATACAAAGTAACATTAAAGTCAGTTTTATTTTCATAGAAATGCTTTTACTCATTTGCTTGTTTTGAAACAGGATCTCATTATGTGGCCCAGGCAGGCCTCTGATGCTTAATCCTCCCATCTCAACCTCCCATGGCTGGGATTGAAGGTGTGCACCACCATATCTGGCTTTAAAATGTAATAATAACTCCAGTTAATAATAACAATCATAGTTAACAATAATTTAAATAACTTTAATAATGTCCCTTAGACATCTGAAACTTGGACACTGGAAATACATTCAAACAAATCATCTTTCGCACAAATTCTCATCTATTAAACAGTACCTCTACCATCTCATCATTCAAATCACTTAGGATTCCATCCCACAAGCACCCATCACATCTAAAATGAACCAGTCATGACAATACAACTTCTTGAATTCCTATAGTCTCTCATTTTCCCCATTCACACTGATTACAACTTAGTTTCAGAGCTTGTAGCTCTGAATTTAATAATTTCCAAACCTTGTTACGATCCTTGCTTCACTCTTCCAATCAACTTTTTGCTTTTTCTATTTTACTTTTGGAAAGAAACTTTATTATTTTTTTTGTGCCCATACTGAGGCTTGAACTCAGGACCAAGTCTCTCTTCCTTATCTATTTTGCTCAAGTCTAGTGCTCTATCACTTGAAGCACAGCTCCACTTTTGGCTTTTTGTGGTTAATTCTGGGACCTCAGCCTCCTGAGCAGTTAGGATTACAGGTGTGAGCCATGGGCAGAGCCTGGCCTTGAAAAGAAACTGGATGAGGGTATCAATTTATCATATTGTTTAGTAATTATTTTATTCTCTATTATTCAGGTTGGAGTAGAGGAAGAGGTCACATTAAGTTCTAAAATTATTTTACTCTTCAGAAATCATTGCAGAGAAAATTTGCCAATGAGGGAAATGAATCTAAGTTAAAGACAAGAATGAGTCTGTTTCCTTTCAAACGGACAAGTTCTCAGCAAAACTGAGGACAAAGTCCCATTAGGCCCCTCCCCTCCCTTCTAGTCCTAGCTGGATCCTGCACCAGCATGGCACTTTTGTTACAAATGGTGAACCTATACATAATTATCACCCAGTCTATAGTTTACATTAGGGCTTCCTCTTGGTGCTGTGAATCTATAGGACTAGACAAATGTATAAAAGATCAGTGTAGGGGGGTGGGGGGGGGGAGGCTGGGAAGGGATGTGAAGGGTAAACAAAGGAGGAGGCTGGAATGCTTGATAAGAAATGTACGCATTAACCTGCCCATGTAATTGTAACCCCTCTGTACAGTGTGTTCACAAAAAATAAAAATAAAAAAAAAATGGAAAAAAAAAGATCAGTGTAGATTCACTTCCCTAAAATCCTTCTGTGTTCTGTTTATTGCACCCTTCAAGCTGTTTCCTGTTAACTACTGATTGTTTTAATGTCATATGGTTGAAGTCATATGACATGCAGCCTTTTCAAAGTGGTTTCTCTCATTCTGTAACATACACTTAGGATTCCTTCCATGTTGTTTCATGGCTGTCTTTTTAGTGCTGAACTGTATTCCCTGTCTGGATCCCATTTGCTGGGATGGGTATCTGGAATATTTGACTTCCGACAATTATGAACAAAACTGCTATTGACCCTGTATTCAGGTTTTGTATGTGGATATAAGTTTCTAACTAGGTATGGCTCAAGTGATAGAGCACTTGTCTAACACACACAAAGCCCTGAGTTCTATCATCAGGACCACCAAAAACAGAGGGAAGAAGAGAGAAAAGACAAAATGACCATTTGGGTAAGTCCCAAGGCGTTCAGTGTGAGTGCCAGGCTGTGAGCTAAGGTGTGTTTAGACTTAGTGGGATGCAGTTAGCTCTTGCTAACTTCCAAGCAAACTCAAGGTCCTGAGTTTGATCACCAGTGGCTCCTCAAAAATGGGTAGGGCAAAAAGAGAAAATATATTTTCAACTATTTGGAAAGATCCCAAGGAATGCAGAGCAGCTGCTGGAATTTTTAGGAAGTGTCCAGACAATACTCTTGTTTTTTTTTTTTTGCCAGTCATGGGGCCTGAACTCTGGGCCTGGGCGCTGTCCCTCAGCTCTTCAGCTCAAGGCTAGTGCTCTACCACTGGAGCCACAGCGCCACTTCTGGCTTTTTCTGTTTATGTGGTGCTGAGGAATGGAACCCAGGGCCTCATGCTTGCAAGGCATGCACTCTACCACTGAGCTACCTTCCCAGCCCCCAGACAATACTCTTAAGTGCCTGCAACCAGCAAAGAATTAGAGTTCTGTCACTCTACATCCTCATTAGCATTTTGAATTTTAATGTGGATTTTATACATCCCAATTCATCACATAACACTAATTACACATAATACTGATTATATCACGCTGTTGATTTAATTCACATTTTTCTCATAACACATAACATGAGCAGTTATCTTTTGAAAATATAGAACCGATCCTGTTATTTCTCAACTTAAGGTCCTATGATGTCTACAGGTTAACTTTCAGACTCCCTAGAATGGCTCGTAACATCACCCATATTATCTTCTAGATCCTGAGCGTATGTGTGTGTGTCTGCACATGTGCCTCTACTCAGGACCAAGTTTCTCTTTAGCTTCTTTGCTCAAGTCTAGCACTCTGCCACTTGAGCCACAATGCCACTTCTGGCTTTTTGCTGGTTAAATGAACATAAGAGTCTGATGGACCTTTTCACCAGGCCTGGCTTGGAACCAAAATCCTCAGATCTCAGCTTTCTGAGCAGTTAGGATGACAGGCGTGAGCCACCAGTGCCCAGATCTCAGCTTGACAGACCTCAGGATGACAAGTATGAGGTGCCAGAGCCCAGCTGCCAGCTCCTTTTACTTGTCTATATACCTAATCTCAATATGTCTCAAGCTTCACTTCTCTAATCCTTATACCTGCAGGTTCAGGACATATCAGCCTCTGTATTGCTGCTCCTACTCTGCCCTATGAAGTGACAAGTTATTAATCACCTTAAAGGGGTTAGGGATGTAGCTTAGTGGTAGAGATCTTGTCTGGTATGTGAGAGACTCTGGGTTAAATTCCTAGTATTGTCAGAAAAAAAAATTGAGCTCAAATATGTTGATAATCCTGCAAAAATCTATTTGCTGTTTACCCATGTCATGCATTGTACCCTTAACAATTTCATTTTTATATATAACTTGTCCTTCTAAATTATAAGCTCTTTAAGGGAGGGACAACTTCTGATGTCTTCTCTATCACCCAGAGGAATGTTGTACATATTGATACCCATTAAAGATTCCTTCAATGAAAGAATTTTTAAAAATTACTTTTCTCAATTGGTCCTTAGGGGCTAGAGGCATATCTCAAGTGGACCTTGTCAAGGAAAGGCTCTGAAATCTAACCCTATTCCACCACCACCACCACCATCACCTATACACACACATACACACACACACACACACACACACAGGTTTAGAAAAAAAAAACCATAGTCTAGATGAAGTATTCTTCTTTTAGAGATGTGGGAATGTGGTTTATTTCCAAAAGTTTGTTTAGAGAGATGTAATTTCCCACATATATATGTTGGAATCACATACTAATTGACTCCCAAGTCCACCAAAACTTTCTAACTCACGACAAACATGCACATGCAGGTATTTCTGCTATAGTGTAAAATTCATCATGCTTGGAGGAAAACCTGAACTGCATTGTGCAGATGGCTAATGCTCCCAAACAGCATCAAACAAGAAAAGCTGCTTCTGACAGCATTGAGTGCTGTTAACGCTACTTACCAAACTACCGATCAACAAATAGAATAATGCAAAGCACTGTGGTGACACTACCGGTGATAGTGACAAAAGCCCAGTATTAAGGAGCATTGCTCTGGTTTTATTACACATTAACTTCAACACTATATGCAGGCACTGAGCTCCTGCTTACTGACATGTTGACGGCTTGCATGTTTATGGCTCTGGATCAGTCTGATAGTGAAACAGCCTGATAGTGAAATGCCTGATGTGCTATGCATATTCTGAAAAGCATAGTCACATGCTAGACAGCAAATAAGAGGAGACTAGAGAATGAGCAGCGCGTGGGGTTCCCACCACAGTCCTGCCCACAAAGCAGCTGCTGGTACAGCAGAAGAATCTGAAGTGAGCATGCAGGAAGAAAGAGCTGGATAGCATGGAGTTTGGAGTGAAAGGACGTTTGAAGCAGCATTTCCTTCACTCCCCCGCTCTTTTGGAGCAATGCCCTGAAGTAACAAGTTGGAGGAGAGAAGGTGGCAATGCTGACATCAGTCCGTCACCTAGCCTAGCCTGAGAATTGCCAACGAGACCGTTGCAATACAATTAAAAGTATTAATGGTGTCGGGGCTGCCGCCGAAAAGTCCGAGTCCAACCAAGGGGAGTAGTCACGGGAGTGATTTCCAAGGAAGAAAAGAACAAAGGGTGGTAACCACAGTGGTGTCATCATTTGCGAGAAAGTTCTAGGCGCACAGACCTCCTCGGCCGCAGTCTGGAGGGCCGCGGCCCGAGGGACCGCGACCCCGAGCCCCGCGCCGCCGGGCCGGGAGGCGCTGCGGCCGCTCCGCGCTCGCCACCCATCGGGGCGCGGCCGGGCGGCGCCGGCGGGGGCTGCGGAGCGCGGGGTGCGGCCCGGCGGCCCCGGGCCGAGCGGCGGGCGGCGCAGCGCGGCCCGGCTCGGCCCCGGCGCCCTCCCCACCCGGCCCGCTCGCCCTCACCGGCTTCTGGTCCGCTGGGCGCCCGCCCTAAGCAGCCGGGGAGGTGCGCGCTGTGCAGAGCCTCCGCCGCAGGGACCGTCGCAACGCAGCCAGCTCCCGCCCTTTGTGACAGCGTCCGCCAATCGCTCGCCGGCTCACCCGGAGTCCTCCAATAAGCAGCGGTGGGGTGGGGGTGGGGCGGGGCCTGGACGCGACGCCGGCGGTTGCTCAGGCGCCGGGGACTCCCAGTCGTTTGGACGTGGTTGTCCGTTGGGAGGTCCCGGATGTTGACGCTTTCTCTTGACAACCGCGGAGCCCGCCTGGGGACCTACCTGGCCGGCGGCTGCAGGCCAGCCTCTTGACGTGCCCGGAGTGGCCAGGTCTGTGCACCTGCCCCGGGACACACGCACGGCCTCTCGGGTCGAAGGCCTAGACCGGTCTTTCCCTAGTGGCATTCCCAGAGCCGTGGCACGTCGGGCGCCCGGGCCGCAGCCTGACGCAGCCCTTTCCGCACCCAGCCGTCCTCCGGTATTTCCGGCCTCCATTGCCCCGTCTGAAAAATGGGGCCATCCCACGCCTGACCTGGGACGGGCGTCAGCAGGTAACTTCCCGAGGACCTCCCATTCCCCCCCCACACCCGCACACCCCGTGTGCGGAGGGAAGGCGGCGGCCACACAGCGTGGCGCCACACAGGTTCTGCTCGTCACCCAGACACCCGTCCTCCCGGGTGTCACGGGAGACGGCTCCGCGAGCACACGTGACCACACAGGTCCCCACGGCGCCATCGGAGCCGGCTGAGCACACACCCCTCCCGCCCGGCCCCGTCTACAGCGGACCCTGAGAGGTCTTCCAGCCCCGCTGCCGATTTCACCGGGTGGATTATGCAACTGCACTGAATTTACCTCCCACAGCGGGTTCACTCCTCCTCCACTTGTGACTTGACTGATCTGGACTCTGTTGGTCGCCACTGTCATTTCCTGAGTCTCCATCATCACTTTCCAGTTCAACAAACTACTCTACCGTGGGTCAGGGGGAAGACCCTGGGTTTTCATGTTAGTCTCTCACCGGTTAAACTATGGGTGCTTAATGCTAATAGACTGATTCCTTGAGGACAAAGACAAGATGGCAGTCATCTTTGTTTTGTGTTTGTTGCAGAAGGCAAGGTCCCAGCACGGGACTGATCTGGAATAGGTAACGCTTCTGCTTCAGCCTCCCAACATCTGGGACTATAGGTGCATGCCATAGCTCCCAGCCTTGTAATCATCTTTGTAAGCAGATCCTACAATAGTACCTGTAATGGAGTCTTAAACTAGGTAAAAAGTGCTTGTCAACCCTGCTACCCAGTTGAAAGAAATGACAGTGTGGGAATTGGAGTCAAGAAGATGAATTTAATGACTTGGCTTCTAATACAGTTCCATTAACTAACCAGTTACAGGGCTCTTTACATGTTCTCTGCTTCTCACAAGGCTACTACTGAAACCTTCATTTATGAAGGTGGAAAGAAGAGTTAAGGAAAACAGAAGAGTATGTCACCATCAAAACAGCTCAAAGTGGGAGAGCCAGATGTGAAATTTTGGAAAAAATACAAAACTCTAACCTTGATCTACACAGCTTCTAGATTCCAGCCCTACTTGTAAAATTAGAACATTACCTGTTCTGAAGACCGGAAACTGAGTAAAATAATATAGAAAGTACTTCCCATAGGAACTTTTTGTCATGAAGACTGCTCTCAGCCTCTCAAAACAGCCCTATTGTCTACTGGATCTCCTAGAATCTATTCTAAAGACCAAAGGGATCTTGCAGTTTCAAAATAAAATGAAAACTAGTTGACACATGCTCATGGAGTCAGTTCCACACTAGGTTGGGTTTAGATACCCAGAGAAGAGAAGGGAGATGTCTGAAAAGGACAGATTATCTACAAATGCCCTCTTCTGCTACCAAGTAACTTGCAGAGCAGAGCAGGACACATAGCTGACATATAGGGGCCACATTAAATCTTTAACTTTGGCCGTTAGTCAATTCCCCCATCCAGTCATAACATGCCCAAGGAAGAAATCAGTGGCTTCAGGATTGCTGAGTGCTGCTCTGATAGGCTAGGATAACTCTGGAGGCTGACAATTCTATCATTCTATCCCAGCATTTCCTGCTTTTATCTAGCTTTAACCTGCTCCTTCCACAAGTAAATGCACAGCTCCAAGGATGCAAGTGGATACTTTGGAGCAAGGGTCAGCAAACCATTTCTACAAAGGGTCCAAAAGTAAATATCTTATGTGCCTAAGCCATCCAGTTTCTGCAACAATTCAACTCTGACATTGGAGGTGGGTGGAAAGCCACAAGTGTAAATGAATGGGTGTGGAGGTGCACCAATAAAACTTTATTTATATTAGACAGTGGGAGCAACATAGTTTGCCAAATTTTCCCTTAGAGGATTTGTAGAGGCATTTTCAGCATTCAGTGGAAACTCCCTGTCAGGCGTAGACCCCTTAACCTCTCACCTTTCATTCTCCCTGACTACTCCCCAACCCCCATGAAGTCTTGACTTAGCCACTCACTGGCATTTATTTATCTGGCATTTGTTTTGTACTCTAGATTCCCTGCCCCTACCTCTATGAAATATTTCTAATATTCTTAATCTTTTTGTGGACTTAAGACTGAATAAATAGAAACAAATTTCTCTGAAAACATTTTCATTTTGCAGTATTAAGCATGATTAAAATCTGCAGAAAAACACTAAGTACATCAGGTGTAAGATGAGCTAGCTGTTTCAGCTTTTTATAACCTAAGAGAATGAGTATAAGGGCTAAATCAAGGCTGCAGCTGAAAAGTGTGGAGTGGATAACTATGTTCTAGTGGTCTCCAAAGGCATTTAGGGGATCATCAAATATATTGGCCACCTTGTGTTCCGATCTTGGTTCAGGTGCTACCTGTGCAGAGTGGCTTTTTGGTTTAGTTGTTTTGGCCTGGACACCAGAGAAGATATCATCTATGAAAAGAAAGAAAAAAAAGGTTGCTGAACAGGAAATAGGTGTTTTTAAGACACATCCACACAAAACATTGAAGACTCAATTCTGGTAACAGTACAGAAAGTATACTAAGAAACAAGAGTTTTAGATATTTGTCTCTGTTACAGTTTTATGATTACATACAAGTCACATTCTCTCTAACCATAAATTTTTCTGGCATAAAAAAGTGTAAGGAAGGTGCCAGTGGCACATGCCTGTAATTCTAGCTACTCAGGAAGTTGAGATCTGAGGATAGTGGTTCAAAGCCAGCCTGGGCAGAAAAGTCCCCATTTGACTCTTATCTCCAATTAACCACTCCAATTAACTGGAAGTGGTGCTGTGACTCAAGTGGTAGAACATTAGCCTTGAGCACAAAAGCTCAGGGACAGCTCTCAGGCCCTGAGTTCAAGCCCCACAACTGATACACACACACACACACACACACAAATGTGTGTAAGAGTGCACACAGAAGAGGAAGGAAGGGAAAGCAACTGATCTGATCCAGTCCAGGATTTTCTTAAATACTGGACTAATTTCTATGTCTCTTCACTCTGCATTTTAAGAGGGCAAGCAAGCCAGGCACTGGTGGCTCACTCCTGTAAGCCTAGCTACTCAGGAGACTGAGATCGGAGGATTGTGGTTCAAAAACCAGCCTGGGCAGGAAAGTCTGTGAGACTCTTATCTTGGTGCTGTGGCTCAAGTGGTAGAGTGCTAGCCTTGAGCTGAAGAACTGAGGGACAGTGCCCAGGCCCAGAGTTCAAGACCCACGACTGACCAAAAAAAAAAAGGCAAGCAGATTATGCAAAGGGAAATAAAATACAGGAGTTATTCTCTTTCAGAATAAAACACTTCGAGGTATCTTAATAGTAAGAATGACATCCTTATTGCTATATCTATGTGTAATGTTTCATAGACCTTAAAGCATAATTTGGATGTGACTTACCTAGTGATATATAATGTTAATTGCTAGGAGTCTACTAAGCATCCTGCATGTGAACATTAAAACAGGGATATAAGGCAACTGTTGTTGGCTCACATCTGTAACCCTAGCTGCTCAATAGGCTGAGATCTGAGGATCATGGTTCAAGCCAGCCAGGCAGAAAAGTCTGTGAGACACTTAGCTCCAATTAATCATCAAAAAAGCTGGAAGTGGAGCTGTGGCTCAAGTGGTAGGAGAATTAGCCTTGAGCAAAAAGAAGCTCAGGGAAAGCACCTGAGTGCAAGCCCCAGGACTGGCATATAAAGTATACACAAATGATAATAACTACATTATAACAACAACAAAAAAAAACAACCAACCGAGACTGCTATTAATAAGCTAATGGCTAAATACAAACTATTATTCAAACATTAAAATCATGGCAGGAGATCTGTGTGTGCTGACATAGAAAGGCATATGTGACTAAAGGGAATAGTCCAACAGGTAAAGTGTATTTTTTTTGATAAAGGTATCTATGCATATAAATGTACATGAGTATCACTGTATCCGAAAGGATTCACACCAAACAATTCAGGTTACATTTAAGGCTTTTTTCACTTTCTACATTTTATGAGTTGGGTGATTCTATTACCATTAGCATGAATTACATTTTTTGATAACTAAAAATTCAAGCCATGTGAACACATAACTGCAGCACTTGGGAAGCTGAGGCTCCCAAGTTCAAGGCTGCCTAGGCTATAGCAAGATCCTCTTCAAAAAATAAAGTGAAAATATAATCCAAATTGAAGTCTCAGTTGGGTGGAGACTTCTACTTGGGAGATAAGAGATTAGGGTATTGCATTTGGAAGCCAGCCTAAGCATAACAGTTTAGAACTCCATCTTCACCACTGGCTGGACACTGTTTGAATGCCTATTATCTCAAGCTCTGGTGGAAGCACAACAGCTGGCACAAGAGTGCAAAAGGAAGTACAAATAGGATCATGATCAAGAACACCTGGGGCAAAAAACAAAACTCTACCTCAAAAATAACCTACACTGGTTGGGAATGTGGCTTAGTGGTAGAGTGTTTGCCTAACAGGCATGAAGCCCTGGGTTCAATTCATCAGTACCAAATACACAGAAAAAAGCCAGAGGTGGCGCTTTGGCCCTGAATTCAAGCCCCAGGACT